GTGGGGTAGGCTCTTGGACAGAGCTGGGGCTACAGAAAAAAGTTGAATGAACATACTGATAAATATTTGTCTGTTTATTGAAACCAGCACAGTGTGGTTGAAAAGCTTCTTTAAGCTCCACCTTCTATGTTGCTTAGTCTGTGACCTTGGACTAAATCACCCCCCACTCCATCAGTCTCACTTTCCTTGTCTATAAAATTGAGATTGGGACTAACTTCTTGTTGAGATCCAGTTCAGCATAACGTTTTACGATTTTATGTTAATGCAACAGTCTAAGTAAAGGAAAGTAATGTAAGCACAAGGAAAGAAGAAAGTGCTGATCATTATAGGACAGACATCAAATATGTTAAAAATAGTTTCTATTCTTGGGCGTACATTCCCAGAGGGAGGGCTTATCTACCAGTGCCCTCCCTCTGAGGAACACCACTCCTTCCCAAATGCTCACCTTCCTGACCCTGACACTGCTACAATACCCTCAGGGTCAAACAGAAAAGACCACCCTGACATATATTCTCCCCACTCAACAGAAACATTTGAATGAGAGCCAAAATGAGTTTGTGCTTTGTGAGTTCTTAGGGTGTGGTAGCCAGAAGAGTCAGACCACCTGTCCCCACCCCCGAGTGACCTCAGACAAGTCACTTTCCCTCTCTAGTCCTAGCCTTAACTAAAAAGGAGGAGTTGGGTGGGTTTTTCTTTATAAGTCCTTCTCTCGCTCTCCTATTCCCCTGCTCTACCTAGCCCCAGGTACCAAGGCTGGGAGAAGCCAGAATCTACAGGCCAGCATTACTCCAAGCATTCCCAAAAATAGAAGATGATCTCCAGCATCCCCAGCAGGCTGGTCCCGAAATGGGAGCACAGCCAAGTGCCTGTACTCGGCGCCGTGAGCCAGAAATCAGGCAAGATGCAGGAGCTCAAACGGGGCCACAGCCCAGGACCCTCCAGCCACGGCACACTGTCCTGATCCAAAGGCAGATTCTGCAGCTTTTCTCACAGATGTCCTCTTACTTGTAGGATCAAGACATATAAGGCCTCTGAAGGAATCAAAAACTTGTGCTTTGGGCACCAGACCAGGACCAGGAGGAGAGTGAAAGATTCCTTGTTGGTTAATGCATGGTTTTAATTAAGGTTTCACACGCCTACAGGAAGATGGACCTAAACATATATGACTTGATATATTTCCATGAAAAGAATGCATCAGTGAAACAAGCACCCAGGTGAAGAAACAGAACGATACCCACCCCCCGGAAACCTCCCTCGTGCCCCCTTCCAGTCACTAGTTCTTCAAGAATAAGCACTATTCTGGCTTTTAGCACCACTGATTGATTTTGCCTGTTTTTGAACTTTATACAAACGGACTTAACGCAGCGTGGACTCATTTGAGTCTGGCTTCCTTTGCTCAACATTGGGTTTGTGAGCATGGAAACCAGTGTCAGTCATGTTCACTTGTGCATAGTAAGGACTTGAATGAGGAGTTAAAATCAGTAAGACATCCATGGGTCTAGCCTAAGGTGCTCACCGAGAGCTGAGGAAGCCAGGTTTATGCTCTTCCCAAAATAAGAATGACTCAACCCCATTCTTCCTGCAGACTCCCTCCTAGGGGGCTGCAGAGGTGAGAGGCAGGGCCTCGGTGCCCCAATCGGACTTCAAAGGCCAGAAGCTCTTGTTCATTGAACACTTACCCCATGCCTGGCTCTGTGAGGGGCACGATAGACTCAGTAGCTCACTTAATCCCGGCAACCATGGGCTACATACTGTTGTTATTCCTTTCTAATGGGTATGAGAATAGAGTCCCAGAGAGGTTGAGTAAGTTGTCCTAAGGTTGCACAGCTAGGAAGGGGACACAAATTCCAATCTGTGTTGACCCCTAAGACCTAACATGGCCACCGCTCTGGGCTGACAGGGAGCTCACTGGCTGGCTCCGGCCTCCACCCTTGTCTCCAACCCCACGTACTACTGCTTGCCCACAGCTCACATTTCAGCAGGCTCTACCCCACCTCTGGACCTGTGTCCATGCTGTTGCCTTTGCCTGCATGTTTACCCCTCAGCTTTTAAATGAACAGTCACTTCCTCTGAGCAGCAGTCCCTGACCAGTTGGTCTCAAACTTGTGCCCTATACTCTCACAGTCCCTCCTGCTCTCCCCTTGCACAGCCCTTAACACATGTTATAAAAAGTTATCCCTTTGGGTAACCTGTTCATGGGGTTATTACCTTTCTTTACCAATGGATCACAAGCTTTAAAAGGACAGGAATGTGTCTGTTTGTTCACCACTGCCTTGGACAGTAGCCGGCACACATTAGCTCCTCAATGGCAAGTTAAGTGAAGAAAAGGAGAGGAGGGGAGAAAAATAGGACTGTCTCTTCTGAATCGGAGCACTCATCTGCAGACAGCTCTAGCTCCAGCCTACTTATGGCTCCCGGCAAGACCTTCCCTCCTCCCTGAGCGCCGGTCTCCTCAGTTTTCAGATGAAGAACCTGGAAGAAAGGATCTCTAAAGGCCTTCTAGCTCATCTGGCCTCCTGACCACAAACCCTAGGAGGTCAAGCCATTCCAAAGGCCTCAGGGCTCTGCAGCCTCTTACCCACACCATGTCAGAGGCGGGGTTGGCGGGGTGGGGGTGGGATCCAAAGCGTCCAGTCTGTGAGGTACGGACCCACTCACCCTGTGAGGTACGGACCCATCCACCGGAGAACAAGAGGCCTCTTCCAGCTCTAACAGCCCTGATACACAAAGATGGGGAGAGACAGGACTAAGAAGGTATAATAGGTGAATTCCCTAGGAACCGGCCTCGACTTCCTTCTTCAGAGCCCCCCACCCCAACAAGGTCCCTTCCAACTCTGCTCTTGGCATGTGCATGGCTGCGCCCACTGCCAGGCCAGAGCTCCAGGAGGGCAGAAACTCTCCGTGTTTTGCTCATCTTTGTGCCCAGAGCACTTGGCACAGACCCCTCCATGTAGGATGTGGCTGAGGTGAGGCTACTGAATCAAATGCCACGGGCAGGACCTGCCAGGGTCTGCTGCTAGGCTTGCCACCTTCCCCCCCTGGGAAGGACCTGGGAGCACCACGTCAGGAGAATCACGTGGCTTCCCATTCAGAGGTGGACTCCCACTGACCACCTCCCCACCTCTGGCCCTGTCTTCTTCCTATACCTTCTCCAGGCCCTGGATTGTCAGTGGCATTCAGCTCAGACAGAAGGCTAAGGACTCGTGCCCCTCCTGGGTCTCTGCAGGCCTTCTCTCCCCCACCCAGCCAGTCAGCCAGGACAAGCGCTCCCTGAGCTTGAAGTAATGCACCCTCTTCGTGAAGTAAGCCTCCTCTGGCTTTGAAGCTCTTTCTGTTTTGTCTTTAAAAATAAAAGTAAGAGGTGGAGCACCTGGGTGGCTCTGTCAGTTGAGCATCCAACTCTGGATCTCAGCTCAGGTCATGATCTCAGAGTTCTGGGATCAAGCCTCGTATCAGGCGCCACACTCAGGGGTGGTCAGCCTGAGGATTCTCTCTCTTCCTCTCCCTCACCCCCCTCCCCCACACATTCTCTCTTTCTCTCTCTCAAATAAATTTTTTAAAATAATAAAAATTTTAGGGGTGCCTGGGTGGCTCAGTGAGTTAAGCCTCTGCCTTCGGCTCAGGTCATGATCTCAGGGTCCTGAGCTCGAGCCCCACATCGGGCTCTCTGCTCAGCAGGGAGCCTGCTTCCTCCTTTCTTTCTGCCTGCCTCTCTGCCTACTTGTTATCTCTCTCTCTCTGTCAAATAAATAAATTAAAAATCTTTTTAAAAATAAATAAATATTTTGAAATAAAATAAATAAATAAAAGTAAGAGAATATTGGGCCTGAATCCAAGAATTCTATAAAGAGGGAAGGCCTCCTGTTTTGCATCATGGATATAGTGACGGCCTTCAACCCCCACGTTTTTATTCTGCTAGGGATGTGAGGGGGGTGAGGCTGGGTGTACTGGTGGGCTCGCAGGAGTATGCAAGTGCTGTACTTATTGGAAAAGGCATAACAGGTGTGCAGGTACAAACTGGACTGACCAGACCTTGGCCATGTCACTCTCCAGCTGAGCAACTTTGGGATTTGCTTAAACTCTCTGGATCAGCTTCCTCACATGAAAAATGAGAGTGAAATTCAGACTCTAGGGCTGGTGTTCGGTAATCACTGAAGAGCCATTTAAATATTAGCAGATTCTAGAAACAGAAGGCAAGAAGAGAGCTTTGTGGGGCGCCTGGGTGGCTCAGTGGGTTAAGCCTCTGCCTTCGGCTTGGGTCATGATCTCAGGGTCCTGGGATCCAGCCCCAAGTCAGGCTCTCTGCTCAGTAGGGAGTCTGCTTCCTGCCTCCCCCCTTTGCCTGCCTCTCTGCCTACTTGTGATCTCTGTCAAATAAATGGATAAAATCTTAAAAAAAAAGAAGAAGAAGAAGAAGAAAGCCTCGGAACATCTTCATTTCTTTCCACACAGTAACTACTTTCAGAACTCAGAATTCATCCCTGGCTGCATTTGGGATTTAGCCAAGCTAAAAATGCAACCAATAACTCAGATCCTAGGAACCTTCCTGATGAGGCTCGAGTGGCCTCTTACTCAAGACGAATCCATTTTCAGGAGGATTACTTCACCTCCCATTCAGGCGCTAGGCTTATGAAACAAAATCCCGAGAGCCATGGAGAATCCCAAGTGGGATTCAGAGAAGAAAACCAACAGGCCAGGTGTCGGTCCAGAGTCTGGGGAGGGCTTCGTGAGCAAAGGAGCAGATGAAACAAGAATCCTTAAGATTTGCCCTTACTGTCAGCCAGGCAATTCGGAAACCACAGGGCACAAGAATTGTAGTCCCTTCCGCTGGCAAGTTGTTATTTCCACAGAAACTGCTATTTGCAGAGCCACACCTGAAGATGAATTCCTCAGGATTGTTTTTAAAGCTTCCCAGGAATCGCGTGACAAGCCCGTGCTTACCTGATCAAGCAAACACTGCCCCAGGAAAGGCGTCCCCTCCACCTCTCCCAGCCTCTTACCTGCCCAGCTCCTCTCCGATGTCATAAAAGTCCTCCACCTTCTGCTGCTTGAACGTCTCCATGTTTGGGCTCCTCATTGAGGCCTGGAGCATACAGCCCTGAAACCAGAGGAAACCTGAGGTCAGGACAGCCAGGAACATCGGCACAGGCCTAAGAGTCTGGGCCTAAAAGTAATCAGCTGCACAGGAGCTCATAACTTAACGATAATCCACAGCCCTAGTTCCTCAAGGACTAGCCTGCCCAAGCCTATTCTCACCAGTGACTGACAAAGTATGGTTCTTATTGATTTCTATCAATTTGAACCTGTTACGGAGACAGGAAAGGAGGCCTCCTCACTTACTTAGATCTGCTCTTAACACGTTCGGAGAAACAGCCCCATGGCCAGCTTCAATGATTTGTTCTCATGAAATTCAGGCTGGCTGAGAAAAAGAGGCAGCCACAAGGCAGGAGAGCTAGCGCTCATCTTTGAGTCAGAAGTTCTGGGTTCGAGTCCCAATTGCCTGAGTAAGTCATTTAAACTGCCACACTTAGCTTCCCCATCTGCTAAACAGGTTTATCCTGTTAAAAACCTGCAAATCGGGACGCCTGGGTGGCTCAGTTGGTTAAGCAGCTGCCTTCGGCTCGGGTCATGATCCCAGCATCCTGGGATCGAGTCCCGCATCGGGCTCCTTGCTCAGCAGGGAGCCTGCTTCTCCCTCTGCCTCTGCCTGCCATTCTGTCTGCCTGTGCTCGCTCTCTCTCCCTCTCTCTCTCTGACAAATAAAAAAAAAAACCTACAAATCATGAAATTATTTTGTAAACTTTAAAATGCAGTGGAAATGTAAGGGATTATCATGACCTCAGCTCCCGGAGGGGCTGCGCCACCCAGCTGTGAGTCTAAACTGATTCATAAACTCTCACTCATCACTCCAAGGGAAAGAGGGACAGGAGTGGCGGAACAAATTATAGGAGGCACCAGCAGTCAGGGGCTGGAGGTTCTGATTCCAATGCAGCCCACAACTAACGCTGTGACCTCATCTCTTGTCAGAGAGCCTCAGAGTCCTCATCTATAAAATGGACCAACTGCCCGCCCAGAGCCCCTCAGTGAGAGCCAGAGGACAACCCTGAGCCATGGGGAGCATTCACCACCCCACCAGATGAAGACTGTTTGCATCCTCCCCTGGGATCTCCCTGCCCCAAAAAGCTCACCCATTCCTGGGACAGCCCCATGCCACCCTGGACAGCACCCCAAGGGAAGGACCCAGGGCACAGTCTGCAAATGACAATGTTACAACCCGGGGCCTGTGGCTGTGTGTCTCAAGAGTCATTAGCACAGGCCTCTCCAAGCTCATTTTGGCTAGTATTGGCAACTTTTCTTCTGCCTGGCAATCAGATACCAACCACACCCAGGGCCCCATGAGCCCCAAAAGACTGTTTTCACCAGGCTGGGTGGAGGCAGCCTTACACAAGGGTGCGTCTCATCGATGCCAAGTGGCTGAAGCTGTTCCAACTCCCAGAGAATGTATACATTTCACACTCCTTCCTCCGGTGCTGCCCCCTGCACACCGGAGCTCTATTACCATGATGCCGCCTGCCTCCCTCCCTCCCATGGGCTGCATATCCCTGAAGTCCCCCAGGCAGAGCCGGCCTGGCTCCTGAGCCTGACTCACAGTCACTTGCCGAACTACTGCCTGTTGATGCCCATGGTCCATCAGGCAGCCTCCCTCCTGCTCGGGCTTCACCCAGTGCTAGCCTGAGCCCAGCAAATATGGGCTACAAAAAAGAGCAGGTTCCCAGGGCCCCAGTTCTAGACTAGCCTGGGTATGTAGCAGCTGTCTAACCCACACAGGCTGGCACCCTCTGGGCCTCAGTCCCCTCATCTGTAAACGCATACTTCACACAGCTGTGTGTGGATCCATTTGTGATTGGGGCATAAACTCATAAACAAATAAGAAAGGTGATTATTACTGTTAATACGTGACTCATCCTGGGCCAGTCTTTGTGTTTCTGCTTCCCACAGCAGTGGAGAAAAGCATTTCAATTCCCTTCTAGGGAAAAGGTTTTGGGATCCTCCTAGAAAGTTTGGCTTCACCAAAATCTGAAGCTATACACCCTCACTCACACACACCCCAAACCCCCATCCTGGCAAATTTCCTGAGACTAGCCCAGAGGGTGGCAGAGGACTGCTATCTACCACCTTCTTTGGGGTCAGGCAGGTCCTAAGGGGTGGGGTTACTCATTTCACATACCTAGAGGGAAGCAGAAAATTCCAAAAAATTCTTTTGACAGATACCCTGAGACCAGTCCCTAGAACAGCAAAGACCCTCCCCAGAGTAGCTAAGATCCTCCATTAGGCAACAGGCCAGCTCCATTTGCTCTCGGGAGCTGAGCTGGATTCTAAGCAGCCCCAGCTCCCAGCAAAATGATGAGCCCCTGCGTTGGGCTCCAGGTGTAGCCAGGGGCTAGGAGACAAGGAAGCACCCTAAGGACAAACTAGGACCACCAGTTTGGTCCCAACTAAACTTTCCAGCCTTAGCCCCCTCCCCCCACATATCCTATATTCCAGCCAAATGAGACCTTTCCCATTCCCTCAAAACTTTCACCCACGCCATGCATCAGCTCAAGCTGGGCCCTTTCCATGGAAGGCCCACCTGGAGAGCCCTCCCAGCAAAACCATTCCCTTCCCACAAGACCTGGCTCAAATACCACCAACTCCGTGAGGCTCCGTGACTCCATTTCTCATCAAAACAGATTAAATTCCCCCTCCCCCTTTAAATTCCCAGAGCGGTCTCTTCATACATATTTAGGGTTAGAGCTTTCATATTTTGGCTCATAACTGTCTATGTCTAACCCCAAAGGAGAAGGCACAGACCCTACAGGCACACAGGACTGAGCTGGAATCTCAGCTCTATCACTTCTGCACATACTGAGCATAGGACAACTTTTCGGAGCTTCAAAAGACTGACATGGAAAATAAGTCTGGACAGTGCCTGTTGGTCACTGTTGGTGACTATGTGGAGCAGATAGAACTCTCAGACACTGCCATGAGAAGCATATTCTGGGACAACCACTTTAGAAATCTGTTGGGCAGTTTCTATGGACATACCCAAGAGAAATGCATGTAGATGTTTTCCAGGATGGTCCATGGTAGAATGTTCACAGCAGCACTATTAGTAATAGCTACAAATTGGAAACAACCCAAGGGCCATCAGTAGAAGAATAGATAAGTAAATTGAGCTATACCCATACAATGGAATTATTCTATAACAATAATAAACTACCCCTACGTGTAACCAAATGGATAAAATTCACAAGCATAATGTTGAATGAAAGAATCCAGACACAAAAGACTACATACTTAAGACCACAAAAGACCACTTAGGCAAAACTCATCTATGGTGCTAAAAGTCAGAATAGTGGAGGGGCGCCTGGGTGGCTCAGTGGGTTAAGCCGCTGCCTTCGGCTCAGGTCATGATCTCAGGGTCCTGGGATCGAGTCCCGCATCGGGCTCTCTGCTCAGCAAGGAGCCTGCTTCCCTCTCTCTTTCTCTCTCTCTCTCTCTCTGCCTGCCTCTCCGTCTACTTGTGATCTCTCTCTGTCAAATAAATAAATAAAATCTTAAAAAAAAAAAAAAAGTCAGAATAGTGGTTACCCCTGGGTGGGGGGTTATGTCTGGGAAATGGGAGTTTCCGGGTGCTGGCAATGAATACTGTTTCTTGCTCTGGGTCATGGTTACATGGATATGTGAAATGTGCACTTATTTTGTATGCAATCAAAATTTTACATAATAAAAAATGAGACTAAGAGCTACATTATGACAAATGAGATAAACATGTAAAATGACCTGCATAGTGTTTGGATGGTTCCAACAAAAATGAATTCCTTCCTTCCTGCCTCCTGTCTTGGAGCCCCATGAGGGCAGTAGTTGTCACATTCTCACCTATGTCTCCCTGTCACTGCTGGTATACAATAGGCACTCCCTAAATATTTGTTGATTCAAATGTAGGGCCCAGCCTCCCTTCTCAAGGTCACTGCTCAGCAGCTTCATCAGGTAAAAACAACTAATAACAACTTAAAGCATTTTCCTAATTATCTCTCCCCAAGAGGAATTTGCATTTTATCAATTTATCAATTTTATCACTTTAGGGACATAAAACTAAAGGGGAGAAATTCCAAGGTGAAATTATAGTCACCAGTTAGGACCCAGAGAAGGCCCCAGGGCACAGGTACCTTTCTGGCCCTGAGAAGATGAAACAACATGGCAGAGGGGAGGGACATAGCTACAGCTTTTGGTCAGAAGCACAGGATGTCTGCTCCAGACATTCCAAGGGTGAAACCCACCTTCATGCCCACATTTCTCTTAATGAAATCACTAGGACTCACACTCCTGCCCTCAACCCTCATAACAGGCAACCCTTCTGAAGTTTAACACAGATTTCCTAGAACCTCACAAAAGGGAACCTCAAAGGTTATCCAGGGGATTTTTAGACACCAGCATGAGGAAGGAGAGACAGAGCATCTCCCCCTTTATCTATACAATAAGTTGGGGCTCTGGGTAAGAATTCACTGGGGGCAGGAGGAGCTTGACAAACCACTGCTATCTGGTCTATAATCCACTCGTTGTTGGTTTTTTTTTTTATTTTTTTTAAGATTTTATTTATTTATTTGACAGAGATCACAAGTAGGCAGAGAGGTAGGGCAGAGAGAGAGAGGGGAGAAAGCACACTCCCCGCTGAGGAGAAAGCCCGATGCGGGGCTCGATTCCAGGACTCCAGGATCATGACCTGAGCCAAAGGCAGAGGCTTTTACCCACTGAGCCACCCAGGCGCCCCTATAATCCACTCGTTTGACGAAAGAAGGAAATTGAGGTCCAGACAGGGGATGGGACTTAAAGTCCCACAGCTAGCCCACTCCAGCTGTTCTTGTCTGGGCTTCTGATGGCAGCCCCCTCAACCCTCCAGTATAGCACCAGGGTTGGGGAAGCCAGTGGCCTCCAGAGTGACAACTTAGGAGGAAGCCTCCAAGGCTAGAGGATCACCCTGCAGGGAACCCTCTACCCTACTAAATGCTCTCACTCACTGGCCCCAGCTCACTCTCCTGGTCATTTGGAGATCCTCGTCCCACCTCACCCAGTGTCGGTCAGTGAAATGGGACTGTTGCAAGGGGGCAGGCAAGCTTGTCCTCTTATACCTTCCCCCACATTAGAAATCATCACACTCAGGCTGTGAGGAGACTGCCCACAGAAGGTTAGGAGTTCCAGCATCACAGAGCCCCTCCATGCAGTCAAGCCTCTGACCAGCCCTAGTCAATCTCTGATGAGGAAGCTCGGACCCAGAGATCAGCCATTTGCCTAAGTCGACAGGAGAAAACCCATTTTTTGAACGAAGGTCCAGCTCCACTAGACAGCCTGCTTGTTCACCCTCACGTCTAATAAGGAGGGAAACCTCAGGGGGGTGGTCAGGGTCAGTTCAGGTCTCATTCCTGCCGGCTGAAAACTTGCTCCAGACCAGCACACACTCACCCCCAACCACACACACCCTGCACCCCCTGCCCAAGCCTCTTCCAAAGCAGCTGAACTATCAGTGGGGCCACTTTACGGTTAAATCACAACTTGGGAGAAGAGCAGGACTCTGAAAGTACTGGTGAAGAGGCCAAGGCACCAGCTCCCCTTAGTCACCAGGAGTCTCCCAGAAATACCTTACATGGAGGCAGCTGGGAAACAGAGTCGGAAACCAGAGCAGCAGCCCCCAGCTGCCCTCCACTGGATTCTAGAGTACAAGGTGCCAGGGGCTGTTCTCTCCACCTGACCCCAGGGACCTTCCCACCTGCTTCTGAGGCAACCAGCTAGGACTCCCTCTCTCCCAGGGTGCACCCCCAACCTACCACTACCTGCATGGCCTCCATGCTCACCTTTCTGGGACTTTTTCTCACTTCTAAAGTGAGAACACTAATTGCCACCTCGCAAAGTTACGGTGAAGACCAGCCAGACCCACACATACCATGAGACGTCCACAAGGCCTGGCCCAGAGTCAGGGTCAACTACTGACGACGCCCTCCTATGCCCTTCTATCCCAGCCTGCTGCAAACTTACAGGCTACCCCCATTGCCTCCCTAGTGGCCCCGGGCCCATGACGACGGGGACCACAGCTTCATTCTGCCACAAGCAAGCTGACTGTGTGTGGAGCAGACTTCTGGAATCACGTCCTTGTACAAATGGGAGAGGAGGTGTGCGAGGTTGCTGCAGAGAAGACTATCCCCTCTCCTCCCAGAAATCTGTAGTGCTCTCCCCATCATGGGGGCCCTAAATTGATGAAAGTCTGTTTCCTATCTCCCCCCCGCCCCCGATCCTACCCTGGGTGCCAAGCCTCGGCCAGTCGCTCCCACCCCGTCCCTCGTCCCTAGGGTCAAAGTGCCAGGCTTCAGAGCGCGCCCGAGAGCACAGCGGACAGTCCGGGGCCGGCCACAGCGCCCGAGGGCAAGGCCGGCCAACCCCCCCCCCCCAGAAAGGGGTGGAGGGGGTACAGTGTGAGGGACCCGGGCGGCGGGCTCGGGGAACCCGAGAGCGCACCCCGGAGCAACCTGCCCCCGCCAGCCCCAGCCCCGCGCGCCGTGTCGCGCCCGTCGAGCCCGCATATGGGCGCTACTCACGGCGAGAGGCTGCGCTGGGCGGGCACGGCGGACCCGACGGGGTGCGCGGCGCTCGGCTCTGCTCTGCTCCCGGCCGGCTGCCCGCCCGCGGAGCCGCGGAGGAGCCGAGGGGGCGGAGCGGCGGCCCAGTCCCAGGCGCGGGCTGGAGGCGCGCCTGGCGTCCCGGGACGGGGGCTCGGGGCGCCCCCTGCTGGGAGCCCCCTCTGGACTGCGCCGAGGTGAGCGTCAAAAGCCTCCTGCCAGGTCCCCAGACACCTCCAGGAGTGCCGGGGAGAGCCAGCAGCGAGACTCTCCCCGCGTCCTTAGCGTTCTGCCCCTCACAGGCTGTATGGCCTTGGACAAGTCAACTAAGCTCTCCAAGTCTGATCTGGAAATTGCTTTAAATGAGCCGATGATAATCTGATATATCTTGGCACAATCGCTCAGAAAATGGTATTTCCTTGTCCCCTCACTCCCGATCCCTTGCCCACTCCCCCCACCCCCCTCAACGCACACACCGTGAGAGAGGAAGTCCCACGAGGGAATAGGCCGTTTCCTCCCTCCCAGCCGGGATGCTCTTCTGGGAACATCACCACTGGCTTTCACAGCTGGGTGGGGGATGAGATGGAAAAGGACACTCCCCTTGTCCCCACCAACCCCCAGCTTGGGAGTGGCCTAACCTCGGATGCTCTCTATGTCCTCTCCCCCCAACCTCTGCATGGTTGGTGAGTGAAGCCCCACATCACCGTCAAGCCTTCCTTAATAAAGAAAGGACTTGGCAGGGGATTCCTCCTCTTTTTCTTCTGCCAAAAATCCCAGGAAGAAAAAAAAAAAAAAAGGAATGAGAGTGGAGCGGGTGATGGGAAGAAGGAAGCAGAAACAGAATCACAGCCAAGACAGAACTTATTTGAAGACAAGAGACTGTTTAGCGAAAGGAAATGGAGGCCCCTTCCCAGAGTTTCCCATCCCTAAGTCTCCAACAGGGCCCTTCAAGGGGTCCTAGAGGAAAAGGTGTTTGATTTGGAGTTCTGCTCCTTGGTTCAAAGCCCTGCTCGCCATTCCCCACGTGTAGTCTTGGGCATGGCACCGAACTTCTCCTTCATTAGTAAAATGGGGCAAACACCCCCCCCCTTATAGTTTCTAATGGAGCTACTACCAGACTGAAATGAAACATGTGTAAGGGATGCCTGGGTGGCTCAGTTGGTTAAGCATTTGCCTTCAGCTCAGGTCATGATCCCAGAGTGCAGGGATCCATTCCCACACCGGACTCCTTGCTCACTGGGGAGCATGCTTCTCCCTCTGCCTGCTGTTCCCCCTGCTTGTTCTCTCTCTCTCTCTCTGATGAATAAATAAATAAAGTCTTTAACAACAACAAAAAAAGTATAAGATATACCTAGAGGACTTCCACCAGTGTAAGTAACCTCCCCCACACAGACTGGGGTACTGACAAGTACAGATGAGCCCTGTCCCCCAGCTGACCAGAAAGACCAAAGAGCTTCCTTGTTTATAAACTTTATCACATCCCAGGACAGTGCAGACTCTGAGTCTCCTGTCCCAAGAGCACCATGCTACCTAGAGTAATACCCAAGACCAGAGCTGGCTTCCAAAGTCAGTGACAGAGGAGGCCACCCACAGAAGTTTCACCAGTGTAGGGAGACCCTTTATCCTCAGACTACCCTCAAAACACACACACACCCACTTCCAGTTATCTATTGCTATGTAACAAGACACCTCAACCTTGGTGGCCTGAAACAGCAATATTGTCAGGCTCACAAATTCTGAGGGTCAAGAATTCAGACAGTGCACAGGATGGCTTAGCTCTGTTCTGCAATGTCCAGGGCCTCAACTGGGAAGACCTGAGTGGTGGGGAATAATTTGCATGGCTGGGAGATAGAATATTCTGGAGGTTTCTTCATTCACATCATAGCCTGGGCTATGATAAAGCCAAGCTGGAATCAGCCAACACTGCCAGAATACCTACATGTCGCCTCTCCATCACTTCCCCTGTGAGCCTCATGCTTAACACCTAATTTGCAAAAACAACATCCCCTCACATGAGAAAAACTGACATTCTTAGGTTTGATACTTGGCAAATTAGTCGAAGAACATCACAGCAGGAAGGGTCATTTTCAGTCATCCCATCCAGCCTGTCATTTTCAGACAAGGAAACGGAGGCTCAGAAAAGAAAAAGTGACTTGTCTAAGGTCACACAGCTGGTGAGAGGCAGAGCTAGGATTAGAACAAGGCCTCTGCCAGATTCTGTCTGGTGCTCCCTGCATCGTTCTTGCCAAATGCAATTGCCTAGGGAGGTACCATCTGGAAATGCATTTTTTGCTTAAGGTTGAGTGAACGTATCAGACCTTCACCTGAGAGCAGCAACAGGACACTGAGCACTGCACATGGGACCAAGGTGGCAGTGGGCAGAGAAGGAAAGACCCCGAGGGTGATAGCAAGAAGTGCATCTATTCCAGAGTGAAACCAGAGGAGGGGCTGGGTATTAAGAGCTAAGCATCAAGCAATTCTGCTCCAGCTCCTGCATGCTTCCCATGGCTGGCAAAATAGCACAAATGCCTCACTCTGGCAACTAAAGCTCCAACCTGCAGTTCCCAGACCCACACATACACCCTCTTCCCTCGTATGCCTGCACAGCCAGCTCTCTTGCCAGGTTGGATTATTGGCTGTTCCTGCCTCCATGCTTTTGTTTAAGCCACTCCACCCACCCCCAGTCCCATCCTACAAAATCATATACATCCTTCAAGGGCCCTTGAAGGATGGGTATCCTTATCTTCCATGGATACCATCTCTCTTCCTCTCCAGATGGCTTTCTCCCCAGAGCCCCGCCACTCTTGGTTTGTACCAAATTGGCATTCTCCTTCCCCTGTTTTAGTTATCATCAATGTCCACTTCCCTTTGCCTTTAGGGCAAGGACAATGTCTCGTTCATCTCTGTACCCAGGCAATGGCTGGTAGCCCAAACCTGATAAAGTTTGTTAGATTGGATTGCTAGAATGTAAATAGCACAAGATGACTGTCTTGTTTTCTGTTGTCTCCCAAGGATATCCAAGTCCCTGGCCCTTAGAAATTTTATGTTGGTTGGAGAGACGTATAAGTCATTTTAATAGCTGCCACATAATAGCATTTCTTCCAGCAAGTACCTTCTCCATACCAGGAACTTTACTTTGGGGTGGATGCAACGATCCCTTTCTACAGATGACGTAGCTGAGGTTTGGGAATGTTGACTTGCCCAAGCTCCTCTAACTTGTAAGTAGCTGAGCTCCGCTGTGAATCTGTCCTGCCCACCTCCAAAGACCAGGCTCTTTCTGCTCCCCTGACCCTCCTACACACTGTCTTCTCTCAGTGGAAACTTCCAAAGATTCCAAAATGGTGTTAATACAGGGGTTCTCAGCCCAGGCTGCACATCAGAATTGCCTGAGGGTGTTTAATGATCCCTGTGCTCAGACCACACCCCTCACCAATGACATCGCAACCTCTGGGAGTGACGTCTGGTCATCAGTTGTGGTTAAAACTCCCAAGTGATTCCAGTGGGCAGGTTGAGAACCACTTTGCTCATGTCACAAAGATCTGGGGAAATGAAACCACCCTCCATCAACCCACCAAACTGCAAACACATCTGAGCACCTGCTTTGTTCAAGACACTCCAAGGGACCGTGAGATGGGTGAGTCACAGGAGCTTGAAGCTTCCACAGGGAACAAGCCCACAGGGAAAGAGGTGACCGTGGCAGGCAGCAAAGGGCAATGAAAGTGGTGATATCCTAAAGCACACTTTGGTGCCCGGCAAGTATACAGAGCCTAACAACCTGTGGACAAGGAGACAGGGCAGGGATTAAGATGCTGCATGTGCTGGCTGGAGCAGCCGGTCCTGGGGTCAGCCCAGAGGGTGCATAGTGTGAGGACAAATGATGCCAGGTGCCTGCATGCAGTTTACTTACTGTGTGATCTAGGGCAAGCTTCTTTATCTCTCTGTGCCCCATTATCCTCAGTGGTCAAGTGGAGCTAAGATTTGTCTCCTAGATTGTTGTGAATGTTCAGTTCATCAGGGATCCATGCAAAGGACTTAGACTGGTACCTGGTACATGGCAAAGTGCTCAATGAGTCTTAGCTCTTCTAATTTTTCCTTAAATGTCTGCTGTGAGCTTCCCTAGAGGAGGAAATGGAACTTAGCCATCTTTTCACCCCACCCTCCTACAGCCTGGCCCAGAGCACGTTCTTAGCAAGTGTCAAATGAAGTCTGGAATGCAGGCTTCTTGACAGTGGACCCAGAGTGGACTCTTAGGCTATCAGAGCAAGCCAGGAGAGGGCACAGGTGGTTCCTCCCTGGCTGGCTTACCTCCGGGCTGGAAGGCAGGCCGGAAGCCTCCTCCTCCTGTGGCCTGACTTCTCAGCCCTTCCCAGTCCTGCCTACCCTTCCCTGTGCCCTCTGTTCTCCCACACCCAGCTAGGCAGGGCCAGGGGGTGTGGAAAGGGCCCAGAAGCCCTTCCTGTTTCCTCCCTCAGAAGGCCCACTGGCTTCTGCAGTCAGAGGTGACTGCTTCGAACTTTAGCCTTACTGGACTCAGCAAGGCCTTGACCCCACCAAGAAAGGGGCTGGGCCATGAAAGGCCTTGCCTTTTCCTGGAAGCCTAGAGAATGGGGATTTCCTGGGCATATACGCACTCCCATTCACTCTGCAAATGTTGGAGGACACCTCCTGGGGCTGGGTGCCATTAAGGGTAAGCAGAGAATCAATGCCCAGAGGTTTATAATAGCAATGTCCACAACAGCCAAACTATGGGAAGAACCTAGATGTCCATCAACAGATGAATAGATAAAGAAGATGTGGTGTGTGTATATATAATATATACACAACACATAATCGAATACTATACAGCCATCAAAAAAACCCCAAAATCTTGCCATTATGGAACTAGAGGGTATTGTGCTAAGCGAAATAAGTCAATCATAGAAAGACAATTATCAAATGATCTCTCTGATATGAGGAATTTGAGAGGCAGGGCAAGGGGTCGTGGGGGGTAGGGTGGGAAAAAATGAAACAAGATGGGATCGGGAGGGAGA